GCACCGCATACCGTGTTCCTACGGCTTTTTACCAAAAGTGGACATTTTAACAGTGGATGAAGCGGATGAAAAGCTAGCTTGTTTACAAATCAGCCAGGTAAAGAACTTTAAAAGATTATATTATAAATTAATAAATAGGTAAAGAAACAAAAAGATAGATAGCATTGCCTTTTCTACCGGGCAAGTTTCTGTGCACCATACAGGTTTCTTTTCCTGTTTCAAGGGCTAAATTAAACCCCAAATCAATGTGACCCCCCCCGATGCCCACGAGAAGGGGCCATCTCAGTAGCTGCTTCCCCCTCCCCATCGGCGCTGACAGACCTCCACTGGAACGGACACACGCAGATCCACAATGACCCTGGATAACTTCGCCCTCGAACGTGAGCAAATCATGTTGTGAAGAGCCCAAAGAGTCTTTTGTATTTACATTTTCACCTCTGAAGAACTGCAGAAAGCACACATCCAGCCATCAGTACAGTCACGTTTTGTTACAAATGCTCTTAGGAATTTAATCTTTAGTGAAAAAAAACAACCCGCGACAACAGAGTGTTCCATGTAACAAATGGTACCATTCTGCTAACCGGCCGCGCCGCAGATATGGAAATTACGACATGAACGGGTTAGTCACACACAAATGTATGGAAGAAGCAAACAGCATGAAAAAGCCCCTGCAATTGGATAATTTCTCAACAATTTTCTATGCTCTGAAGGTTGCTTTGAAAAATCCATGTGGCAACTGTCAGATGGACAAAAGCCTCTCTTTGTAATGCTTGAGTTTCCCAGAATTGCCCTCATCCCCTTTCCAGCAGGAATCACTGCAGTCATTGTGCAGGATTAACGGCCGGGCAGCAGAACCAGACGGGGCAGAGAGGAACCCATCACCGCCAGCGCGAGCTGGGAAACATCTCTGCGCACGGACTCGCCAACTGCCGACCGCTCACTTTGATCTGAAAGCTCCCACAGTCACGCGAAGACTTTGGAACCAAGCTGCTCATCGGTTCTGCTGGAATTTGAGGACGCTACGATGGCACTCACAAGACTTCTCTAAAATCAGAGAGGGCTATTAGGTGAAACTGGGGAGAAACACATCAAACACAGCGTAAGGCTGCGAACTCGTCTTCACCTAATACTAACTCCAAATTTTCTTTCTTTTACAGATCATGCTGGTTTACTAATGAATAAAAATGAGGAGGGTTTTTACAACCTGCCAGTCGATGTCCCCCAGCAAAAAAACCCCAAACCTTTTTACTTGCTGACACAGTAAATGGTCAGTCATTCAACAGCCATCTCTCTCAGCTGCTGATATTTTTTTTTTCTTTTTAAAGCTCTCGGATTAGTAGTAAATAAGAGAGACAGAAGATAAGAAATAGTTGAAGAAATGCGATAAATACTATGAACAACAAAGAGCGGAAAGCATTACTTTCCCAGTTCCTTTACACGTTACCCTAATGAAAGCAAACTCCTATAATGATTGAGTGAGGATGTAAAATAAACACCTTCCTTTTACAATATCAACAGTAAATTAAACTAATAATTTAAAAAATCATGCTAATCCACCAACGCACTGAAGCACACTTTGAATTCTAAGTATATCAGGAGCTGCACTGGAGTCATCAAGACACGTACGTGCAGAACATCAGCATGTGCTTTCGGGCTATTCCGGACCACGTCTAGCCGGAAGAGGATGTTTGTAACAGATGGAAAAGGAGAAGTCTGCAAGTAGAAGACAGACGTAGTCCTCTTCCCCATCAATTTCCAATGCATTCTTGTGCATGGCCCCAAAACGGACCTCCGAACAAAACCAGGAGCCTACACTTCTCTCCTCTTGCTTTTGTGTAATAACAATTATCAGCATTTTATTGACGTCATCCTGTTTTGTATGCATCTCGTTCAGGTCTAGATTTCATCACATGTAGTTTCCCAACCAGACCGACCACGGAGCATGCATTTTCACCCGCAGAACATCTACAGCACGGCTCTACAAGCCCACCTCACTGGTGTCTGAGCACACGTCTCGGCAAGCTGCCCAAACCCCTGAAGCCTGTCGAATCGCCACCCCTCCCTTTGCACTGCCACCTGTAAAAGCCACCGCTGGAGCTCCAGTATCTGGTCTTTTGAGGAACTAGCGGGACACTGCAAACAGCAGCCCTGCCAAATCCAACAAAAGCTCTCCGAGTCTGGAGCTAAATGGAGTCTGATCTGTTTCCACCTGCAAAAAAGATAATTATGAATACACGGAGCTTAATCTGCTAGGCTAAGCTGTGATTTTGAGAAGCAGGAGGAGGTTAATGTCTGCTGACAAGCCCAAGGGGCCAGCAGGGCGAGGGAGGGGATTCTGCCCATTTACTCCGCTCTTGTCAGACCCCACCTGGAGTCCTGCATCCAGCTCTGGAGCCCCCAGCATAGGAAGGACGTGGATGTGTTGGAGCGGGGCCAGAGGAGGGCCATGAAGATGATCCGAGGGCTGGAGCACCTCTGCTACGAGGACAGGCTGAGGGAGCTGGGGCTGTTCAGCCTGGAGAAGAGAAGGCTCCAGGGTGACCTTAGAGCAGCTGCCAGTACCTGAAGGGGC